ATTGTTGTTGGGGGCAATATGCTGACTCTGTAAACCGCTTAGAGAGGGCTGAAAGCCCCATGAAGCGGTATATAAGTCTACTGCTATTGCTATTGGGAGGCAGAAGCAGCCAGGAAAATCTCTGCAAGGCGTGAACCTTTTAGGAGCATCTCCAGCCCTGCAGCCCCTTCTGAGCCCACCATGCCACCTGCTTCCCTGGGCACAGGGGCTACACCCAGCTGGGCAGATGGCCTGCCAATCAAAGCAGGGCATCTCCCCCCCCTCCCCCCCCGATGATTCCACCCTGGATTTCTTGCCTGCATCCTAGCAGGATTTGGGATGGACTTTCTGCTCATCCTGAGCCTCGGTCAGGGGGTCTTCCTGTTGGTGCCCGCTCCTTTTTTTTTTCCCTTGCAGGGACCCAAAGTTGCAGGGAGGGATGGGGGAGGGGCGGCTTTGAGGCATTTTCTCTCTACAGCTAGTCCTCAACTTAATGACCACAGTGGAGCCTGTTTCATGTCGCTTGAGTGAGAAATTTGTTTGGCCCTGTTTTACGCCTTTTCTCGCCACGTTTCGTTAAGGGAACCCCTGCAGTTGTTAAATTAGCAACAAGGTTGTTAAGTGAATCGGGCTCTCCCCCCTTGTCTTCGCTGCTCAGAAAGGGAATCGTGTGGCCCCCCGGGGCGTTGCGGCCGTCATAAACACGCGTCAGTTGCCAGGCACCTGAATTTTGGCCACGGGGATGGCGAAATAGTTGTAAAGCGTGAAAAACCGCCACAGGTCACTTTTTTCAGTGCCGTTGTAACTTTGAGTGGTCGCTAAACGGACTGTCATAAGTCGGGGACGTCCTGTATTCTTCCTTCCTTCCTTCCTGTTTTCCCTGTAACAACAACCCTGCGAGGTAGAAAAGCTGAGAGAAAAATCCCGCCGGCTTTCATGCCTAATTGTGCGGGACTAGAATTCACCTTTACAACACGAGTCAATTGTCAAAAGTCTGGATTTGGATCAACGTGACCCTGGGGATTCGGCAGTGGTCGTAAGTGTGAAAAAGGGGTCGTAAGTCGCTTTTTCCCAGCGCCTTTTTGGGCAGGCTGCATGGAGGCTCCCTGATTGGGCTGCTTCCCGGATTGATTATGGAAATTAATGTTTAAAAAAGAGAAAAACGGCCCTTCTTCTGTACATGGGGTGTAGGACCTATTTGTGTGTGTGTGTGTGTTTGTGTGTGTGTGTGTGTGCTTTGCCCCCCCCCCCCCCCAAGGATGAAAACCTGAACGATGAGCTTTGAATTCCCTTCCTTCCCCTTGAAAATATCTGGGTCTGAGAAAGGGAGGGGAAAGGAGGAAAAGAGAGGCCAGGAAGGAGGGAAAAGAGTAGGAGAGAGGGGAAGGAAAGAGGAAGGGGAAGTAGAGAAGAGAGGGATGGTAGAGGGCAGGGAGGGAGGGAGGAGGAAAGAGGAGGATGGCCTTGGATAGGGTGCCATAGGGCAGTGTTTCTCAACGTTGGCAACTTGAAGATGTCCGGACTTCAACTCCCAGAATTCCCCAGCCAGCGAATGCTGGCTG